ATGCATTGAGCTGGAAATCCAAACTTGTAAGCAAATGCTGAGAGTTATACTTTTGCAAGAACCCGAGCACATCCTCAGTTTTGTTGAGCAAATGCTGACCAGTTTATTCAGTTGCACTAGGCATTGATTGAAAATGTATTTTTTAATTTCTCTGGGGATGATATATATTTATCTTAGATTTTTCAATAAAGCATAGGTCTATTGGAAGCTGCTGTTTTGTTATGATTTTTATAATGAATCTAAAATCCCTATAACTTCTAACTGCTCAAATACTTTGGAGTATCTTGCTGTAAATGTTCCAGAGATGCTACCATGTATCCTATAAGACATTCAGAGAAGTGAATCCAGCTGTTTCAAAATTTAGGCTAACAGCTGGCTCACCTTTCTAAAAGTCACCCTATACTCTTAGCCTCAGTAGGTGATGGTTTATTTTCCCTGAGCTTATGTTATTTTCTTTGTACCTTGAAGTGACAATGGTGTCCAGGCTGATTTGTCGTAAGATGATTTTCCCCGGTCTTCCCAGTCCTCTAAAGAATTATAGGCTTGTTAAAGAAGCAGCTTTGTTTGTTCTCTTTGAATTTGTTAATTTTTTGAAGTCAAGCATGGATATGTAACTGTTTACAAAAGTGTGGCCTAGCACTGTAGGTTTCTTAACCTATTCTCAATTAAAAAAAAAAATAAACAGAATGCTATAATCATAGTTTGGGAGGGATTATGTACTGATCAAAGTCAAAGCAGAAGCTCTGTTAAGATTTGTGGATTGCAGAGGCTGCAGAACACATGGCCTGGCCTAATAAAGAAGAAAATTAGTTTTTGAACCCACAATCCTTCCTCAAAAATGTTGTCACATATTTCCCTTAGGTTTCTCTGTTCTGGAAGTATGTACACCTTCTCTCAGTCCCTATTCCCAAAACACCTGTATTTGTACGGAGAAGTATTGCCTTCCATCAGCTCAAGAAATGAGGCTTTTGCCCATGCTTTTCCTTAAAGACTAGGCAGCGAAGCTGTTGGCATTTGATTCATAAGCTTTTGATCCGTACTTAATCCTAGGGTGGCTTGAATCCAGAGCATGCAGAGCGTTGGATATTGTGTACCTAATGAAGTAGCTGTTGGTGTACAGCACAGTAGGAGACTCTCTCATGTTCTCAAACAGCAGCTATAGAGAATGTCAGTGTTCCTTGGTGGGTCTCTGGGGAGAGAGGCTGAAAGAGTTCCTGAGAAGCAGGGCCTCTTCTGTTTGGTCTTTTTTTGCAGTGGGTTTTGCAGTGAAAGTAAAATTCTATGTTAGGTTTTTTGTTTTTCGTCCTAGAGCAACTTAGGCTGCACCATCATTTAAAAGAAATGTGAAATGTGTAATCCCATAGGTTATGATGTCTAATTGCTTGTTTCAAAATGTTCTCTTATACCACTGTAGATCAGGAAAACGTCCTCTGAAAATAATGGAGTTATTCTCGTTTTATTTGGTAAGAATATAATTAAAGAGAGAAGAAAGCAATGAAAAGTAGCAGGAGTGAAATACAACTGGTTTTGATCTTTGGCTGCTTATAAGAAAGATAAATGATATAATCTGGTTTGCACATATGCATGTGTAAAGCAGTCCAGCTCTGAAGTATGACTTGCTATGGCAAGCTTCAGGCAAATCTGATGTCCTGTTTCATTCAGTTATACTTTAAGATATAGAGAAGGATCTAAGAGGCAAGGGAGTCCAAAGAAATGGATGGAGGTTATGCTGGATCACAGTTGCAGACTGAAGTCCTCTAGAAAGAGTCCAAATAATCTCAGAAACTCCTTTGGAAAGGAGAGAGCTTTTCAAAAACTGAGGAGACATGCAGTCTTAGTTCTTCTCTTCTGTTGTCTCCCCAGGAAACTTGGGACAATTTTGCTTCTGCTGTCCACTTTCCTGATTTGGCAACTTGAAGAGACTTTTGGGCCATTTTCTAAAAACACCCATCAGTCATCAGGATGGAGCAGGACATTGGAATCTCTAATGTAACGCGAAAGGAGTGATAGGAAACATTAACAGTTCCTGTTGAGCAGAGCAAATAATAATATTCAGTGGCTAAAGCCAAAATAACAAAGAACCTTTGACACTTTAAGAAACAAAGCAGTTACATAGGAAGAATATTATTGCAAAAAAAAAAAAAAAAAAAAAGAAGTCTCAAAGTGTATTGTAGGGTGGTCAATATTGTTGTTCCTGCTGTGCTGAAAGGCCAGATGAGCACTCAGAGTTGATAATTTGCCTGAAGCAGAGTGGAGGACTCCAGAGTACCTGTTTAGTACGTTATTCACTCGATCAGTGCTTCCTGAGAAGAATCCACCTGGGGAGGGCTGGCACAACATATTCACACAGACAGAGATCACATCAAAGAGTTTAACACCTCAAATTGCCAAAGGCAAAGCAGGAGCACAGAGGGATGCATTCATTTCCTTCTAGTCTCACAGCAGGTTAACAGAAGAAACACGGCTTCAAGCCAGGTGCCATGCCTTGCTGACAAGCAGTGTAACCCCCAGGCCAGGCTGGCTCAGCGAGGGTCTGTGGTCACACTGTCTCCTCCTCAGCTGACACCCTATTTTCATCTAGAGGTGGAAGAGAGAAGTGATAATATGAGATACATTTATTTTGCACAGCAGTGAGGTTCTGGGAACAGAAAACAGAAAAAACTCCCTGGGAAAGTGGAACAAAATAAGAAGGAACTTAGAAATGCCTTACCATGTATTCTACATTTGTCAGTTTGTACTTCTGAGTTAAAACAATTTCTTATGTGCCCTTTGAAATCGTGAGGCTGCATGCATGAAGAAAGCACCTATTGCCTTTATATTTTGAGCAGAGAGCCATGTATTTTAAAAATTAAATAGAACAATTAGTCTTGGAGCATTAAATCTGCCTATCTAGGTAGCTGACCAGTGTTCTCACAGAGATGGTTCTCCCAGAACAAAGCTGAGGAAATAAGGCTTAGAAATCTAAATATTAGTATGTGTACAGGAACATAAATTACGAAGAATGACAATTTTCATTGCTTTCATTTACTTTCATTTGCTGAGTTCCCAGGCTGACGTCTGAAGTTACCTCTGTTGGGTTGCTAGTGGGGTGGGGTATGGGGGCAGAGGGGCATGGGGACAGGATAGGCTCAGTCCCCATATTGACAGTAGGATCTGCAATGACAGCCTAGCATCTGATGTAAGAAATCCCTAATAGAAACAGGAGCTTCCCAGCATCTCTCCCAAACACAAAAGGAACCATGCAGGGGTGGCTGTCAGCTCAGCAGGAGCTTCCAGACCTCTGGACACTTAAATCATATCATTATTACAGACACCTCTGGATTCTCTGATTGAGGTTTTCCTTGGAAGGATAGATGGAAGGAGGATTAAACGATAAAGTGAATCATGTGAGAGTGAGGAATGCCTACATGATGAGAGAAAGGGTGACTGCAGGAGACCTTTTTATTTCAGTGGATTGTGTGGAATGGAAAAATACAGGTTTAAGGCATTATGGTGCCTAACACTGTTCTTGGATGCACAAAGTTTGTGTGTTGTGCCTGGTTTGACTGTGAGATCCTTGGGGTAAGGACTGTGGGTTTTTTAGATCACCTAGCTCAGTATTGCCCTAGTCTTTTTGCAGTCCTGGAATGAAAACATTGAACATGATTGTTTTTCATGGCAGAGGCTACAGCAGGCTGATTTTACAAAGTTTATCCAATTTAATTATCTTCTGCTTAAACAAAACATGTTCATCTTAGTTTTCTGTTTCTTCATGGGTTTTGTGTGTTTTTTGGTTTGTTTGTTGTTTTTTTTTGTTCGATTTGGGGTTTTTTTTAGTATTATATTCAAGTGAGAAATGTTCCTTTGCAGTATTTGACAGTTACCTGTGTGACCCAAATTAATAAAAATCAGAATGTATGTAGCCCCAAATATCAGATACGTCATTACAGTTGGTCTTCAACTGTCTATTTCAGTCTGATAGTTTTGTGCTTGATTGCAATCATGAAGTAAGAGATAAGCCAGGCCCTCAGTGGTATCAGCCACTGGACAGCTCTCAAAATATCTAGTCATTTAACAGGCAAATGCAAGATCTATAAACCAGTGTGATGAACCACCTGCTACTCCTTTTCTACCGTTCCTTCTTCTATTCTGCAGATACAAATTACATGAATCTGTATCATCAAGAAGTCTGCAGACTTTTAACAGAATGTCAGCCTTCAACCCTGCTACATGTATGAGAAAGCAAATAGGAAATAGAACTGATAAACTTTCTCCATGCCATTCACAATTACCTTAAAGAGCATCTAGTTCCCACCCCATTGCTATGGGCAGAGACACCTTCCACTAGACCAGGTTGTTCCAAGTCCCGTCCAACCTGGCCTTCAATACTGACAGGGATGGGGCAGCCACAGCTTCTCTGGGCACCCTGTGCCAGTGCCTCAGCACCCTCACAGTGAAGAATTTCCTCCTGTTGTCTAATCTAAATCTCCCCTCTGTCAGTTTAAACCCATTGCACCCTGTCCTATCCTATCCTTGGCCACATTTGAGTTAATAGTTGTTTTGATGAAAAAAAACAGAAGCTACTTCACCATTTCACTAACCTGCTGTCATAGTTATAATTTACCTTTAATTTTGAGCTTTTCATAATTTATAGCTAAGTGTAAGAGAATGAACTACTCTGGAATTTACTTTTACGGCTAGTTACATTGCAAGGGCAAAATTTAGAAACATTATTTAGACATCATTCTGAGAATTACATGTTACTGTGGTTGCTACTTTATTTAATTGGGTTGAAATAGAATCCAGCATCTGATTTGAGAATACTTTTGTGTCAGTATAGGCTTTTTTCTGGCATCTTGGTGAGTAGACTATGTGAGTCTCATTGCTTGAACAGGTGAGTGTATAAAAGGCTACAGTTTACATTTATCATTTAGCTGAAGAGGAAGGATGGGGAAAGTAGAATGGGGATACACATCTAACAGCTATTTTTTCCTTTTCTAATCTCTGTTTTTATTTTGCAGGTGATGGAAATTAAAGGACAAATGATTCACGTGCCAGAATCAAATTCAATTTTGTTTCTGGGTTCCCCCTGTGTGGACAAGCTGGATGAACTGATGGGCCGAGGCCTCCATCTTTCGGACATACCTATCCATGATGCTACTCGCGATGTCATATTGGTTGGGGAGCAAGCAAAGGCTCAGGATGGCTTGAAAAAACGAATGGATAAGCTGAAGGCAACACTAGAATGCACACACCAAGCCCTGGAAGAGGAGAAGAAGAAAACAGTAGATCTCCTTATTTCTATTTTCCCAGAAGAAGTGGCTCAGCAGCTGTGGCAGGGGCAGCAGGTTCAGGCCAGGAAGTTTGATGATGTTACCATGCTCTTCTCAGACATTGTTGGCTTCACTGCCATCTGTGCGCAGTGCACACCCATGCAGGTCATCAGCATGTTGAATGAACTCTACACACGGTTTGACCATCAGTGTGGATTCCTGGACATCTACAAGGTAATAGCTCAAGTCCTAAGCTAGCAAAATCTAACTGAAACTAAGGGGAGCCCCCCCATCTTCCTGAGTTACAGACCTTCCCTGTAAAACTGTGAAGGCAATATTTTTGGTTTTTGTGGAAAAAATAAATCTGAAATCAGCCCATTGAAAATCAAATACTTTGGTGCTGAGCTGTCATCATGGTTCCTCCATATATACCTCATATTCCTGTTTTCCTATAGGAATTCCTTCTGTACTATAGCCTAGTTTCCTTTAGTTGACACATCAGCCACAATGTCCTAAGGATGATGAATTGCACAGTGATGATCCTAGCCCAAGCAGCAGCTCCTGGATGGTGCTCAAATGCTTTCTGTTTCACCTGAAACTTGAATGGTTTGGGATTTAGGTACTTATTTTTTAGCTGAAAGAATTCAAATTTTTCCATAAAAAGCAGAGCATTTACTAAAAAAAAAAAAAAAAATAAAATAAAATAAATAAAAATTGTTATGAGATTTAAACTTACACTGAAAAAGAGGAAGAGGACAGCTGATGTCCGTTCATAGTAAATGGAACAAGTGGGACATGGCACTGGGGTGCCATGCTCCTTTATTGCTTCTAGAAAAGGAGATGGCACAAGGGTTGGTTCTGTTACCAACCTCATCACCTTCACTTCTCTTCAGTGGATTTGATGTCCATTATGTATTTGAGAGAAAAAAGTGGGCAGGTAGAATTTAATAAATGCAGTTAAGATATTATCTGTGTAATTATCCTGTGAAATCTACAGATAATATGTTTTGTACATGGAATACCTTTATTTTTGTATAGATAAGCAGAACAAATTTCTTTTTATAACTGAATGCACCAAAGGAAAAAAATGTAGTTGTAAAATTATATATTGACTTTGTTTTGTGCCTGATGCTTGCAAAATAAATCACCAGCTTTCAAGCTGTTTCAAATAGTATTTGTTGATAGGCTATAGAGAAAAAGTCTATCTTTCAATCTTAGCCTCAAGTACACTTTAAAAAGCACCCAAAAATATTGATAACCCACTTAAAAAACAACTGTGGCTGCAAAGTTACAACACATACCACAAACAGATAGAACTGAACACGGTGTAGATATATGTTGGTAGGACAGTATGGCAAAGTAAAAGATCAAAGTAAATAAGTTTTATGCTCCTGGGCCAGGGGGCTTTTTAATAATGTTCAGAAGCAAAAGGCCATGTTGGGAGAGGACTGCAATGGAAGGTACCAACCCTCATTCGAAAATTTTTCCAGTGATATAGTCAGAAAAGGTTGGAAGTTTGATCTCAGTTTGTATTGATGTGATGTTGCTTCACTTGATCTCAAGCCAGCTGTGAGAACAGGACTTGAGGAACTTCTGACCCACAGTCAAGAGTGATATCTAGTGACCTTGTTTCACATGCTGTATCCGGTACATGGGTGTAGTTAGTATTTTCCCAGATGAATAATTTTAGTCAGCTGTTGCGAGGCATTCAGGACATTCTTTGTTGAAAACCATGGTTGCATGGGAATAGCTCTATGACCTGTTTGGAAGAAAGGTTGGTTGAGTCCTGTGAGAACACTAAGAAGAAATATTTATACATAGGTCAGGAATATTGTATCATTTAGGCCATGGCTTTTTGCCTTTCACCGAGCTTTGTGCCACTTTAGATAGAAAGATCTTACTGTATGGAAGTACTGTCCTGACCTGTGAAATAACATAATGGCCGCTGAGATCAGTAGGGTAAGATTTATGCATTCACAAAAGGAATAAACTCTCCAGAAAGTTAAGACCCCCATGTAATTCTATGAGCAGAGGAATAAACAAACCCTAATTTTGTATGGAATGATTTCTTACACCTCTAATACTTTTTCTCCACTGTTACTGCCTTAATATAGCCAGTTCTTTCCCAGATCCTTTCATCCTGGGTTTTCCTCCATCTCCCTACTCCCCCATGTCCCCTCAGCCTCCCTACATGTCCCCTGCTTCCCTCCACAGCCCACCCACGAGCAAGGCAGTGTGCACTGTGGCTATTTTGGAGCTCATTTACCTTTTTTTCTCTCCCCAGATCTTTTTTTCATGTTTTTTTAGCCAGAAGTCTAAAAAAGTTGCTGTGGGTTTGAGTGAAAATGACTCAGTCAAGCGTTACAGAAAGACAAAACTCAGGCAATGAATCCTTTTCCTTAGAGAATCAATCTTAAAATAAAATGACAATTCTTTTGAAAAGGCATGTGCATTTTAAAACAAAAATAGCTTGTATGTTTATATTTTTTTCATTTATTTCATATGGTATTCTGGAAGCTAATTGTATTGCTAGGAATGATCACCACCACCACAACTATAATTTTAGAAGTTATTGTCAGGCAGTGAATTTTAGATATCATCAGGATTTGTACCCACAGCCTGCCTCTAAGATATACTTCTGTAACCAAGCTACAGAAATTCACCATGTGACCTATATACACATCAAAACAGATTAATTTTCGAATTTTCTTGGTTTTAAGCAACATGCAGGCATAAATTGCGAAGATTATTTAGCGACTAGTTCTGAATACAAAAATCACCATTTTGTAAACAGAAAATTAAGCAAAACTCATTAAATAAATTCCATGCTGTAAATTATTCACTCAGCATTACTGTTAACAGCATTTTGAATTCAGAACCTTGGTGCTTGTAATCTTGGACTCAGACAATGGATGTATTTTCAATTGTCTCATACTATTCATTCAGGGATGTTTACAGAGAAGTATGGCACAGAAAGAAGAACAAAGATCCTTGCATTTAACAAGTCAGACATAGAAGGCAAACATAATGAGCTGTTGGACACAGAATGAGAAATTCTTGGAGAGATGAATTAGACTTTGAAAATTCTTGGAAAGGAAAGTAAGTAGCTATAACTGATGAGGTAGGGGAAGGATGCCCAGTGGATGAATGTATAGGTGAGAACGATACATACGGATGATGAGCTCAGAAAATGAACTTCATGGCAGCATTTTGATTAGATATCAAAGATGACAGATTATGTTTGTCCAGGCCGAGGTGGAACATTGCCGTAATTGAGATACATGATGGTATGAGCCTGGTGACAGTTTTAGCAATTTGGAAGAATCTGTGTTTTGGATAATGAAACTTTAGAAAAAATTTGCTTACATATAGTCTTGATGAAAGATCAGGAGAGTAATCTTGGGATAATCACAGAAGGGAGAGTATGTTAGAGAAATGAGACCTGGCAGTGCATTTGGAAACTGGTGCTGCTGACTATCTGAGTTAATTGTATTTGGCTTGGAATTGGGGAATGGGAGAAAAGATGCTGTCTAGCAGGGAGTGCAAATCAAAGCAGTGCAGGGGACACGCTTGGTAAGCTAGTGTCTGCAGACATGCAAACAGAACCATGGACTACAGGAGCAGAAGTAATGGGAGAGCTCAGTAAATTTTGAAAGCAATTGCTTTGCATAAAATAAATAGTGTTTGGCCCTACTATTTGTGTCTTTGTTTGGACCTGGTTTTCTGTGTGTGTGAGTTCCTGTTGTTTGCGAGCCAAGTGCTGCAAAAAGATGCTTCAGCTAAACTGTCTCTTTATCAAATAAGCTATTTAGATATGCTGCAGCCATGGCTGCTGGCACTTAAAACTTAACCATGCAGATTGAAATCTTCCCTGCTTAAGATTCCTGCAGCTTCTGTTTGTCTCTCCAAGTAATATGTCTGACATAGAATCATTTTAAGTATTTTTTCTTGTTGAATCCTTTTGCCTGTGTAGACCTGCTTTCTCAGCTCTTTTCCCCTCAGTTTCCTTTTTGAAATGACCCCATTTCCCTCCCTCACCCTTTCACTACTGCATGGAGTAAAGGCAGCATGTAGTTTTTTTGACAGCTGTTTTTTTGGCCATGCATGCACTGGCTGAGTGACTATACATGCTGTCTGGTTAACATCGAGCTAAATAGAGCAGAACAAGGCCCACTCCTATACGTGTTAGTTTCTTTGTCCTTTCTCTGGATGGAGTGGCATTTGTCCTTGAAGACATTTGCAGATTTCCTCATAACACTAAACTTCACTTTCTGTGAAGTGCTGACTTCCACTTTCCATGTCTAAGCAGGGAGTCCTAAATGTTTTTGTTAATGAGCTGCCAAAATGTCTTTGCTATACATCTTTGTTGTCAAAATTTTAATTGGAAGTTTATTGAATATTTATTGAATAAGACACCATCATTCTACAAGTTAATTTTATGCTTAGAATTCACAAATGTTACATTAATTTCTTATTTCATTTTGATTTCATTATTTGGCTAAACTGACACTCTGAGTGGTGCCACACACATGCTTTGAAGTCCTTTACCAGCTTCCTTGGAGTTATCTTTGACTGTTACTGCTGGCAACATTATTTCACTTACTTTACACTGACTGACATTTTATTTTTTCGGAATGGTACAGCTAGCATGACAGATCTTCATTTTCTGATTTTATACACCTCACTCTGGCTACAGCCTTATTTTTTGCTTGTTGTAGAAACCTGAGACTAAAAAAAGTGGGAAGTCTGGACTGCTCTGCAATCACTCGAGACTGATACTCACCAGTTCTGGAAAACACTGTTTATATTGAGCTTGTGATATAATGTTTTTAGAAACCTAATTTTAAATTCACATTTTCTAAAAACACCACTTTACATTTTTATACTGGTAGTTTAGGTTTCAGAAATCAGTATTCATTTTACAGAAAATACCAGTACTTTCTCAGTGCCATGACTATCCCTCCTTGAGAACTGATATTTGTACATATTCATATATATGTTCTTGAGCTTACTATCAGTGCTGTAATGACTAAAGATTACTGCAATTAGAGGAGTCATGAGCTTCAGGCTATTCTGAGGTTTTTCAGGCTGTATGTTTTATAAGTTAAAAAACACAATCTTCAAGTTTTCATGTAAAATCTATCACCACTATTTTTGTCTTCTTTCTATCACTTTTGCAGCTTTAACCTTTTAAGTTCAGTGCAACTACATGAACATTTTGAGAAGCTTTCAAA